GTTTGTTTAGGATCCTGGACATTGTAGAAAATGGGAAGCTACTGAAAGCTGAAGAACACAAAAGTGAAATGACTGGTAACTTTTTGATTTGAGTTTGTTTCTTTTGTTTTTAAATTTATAGCCAATAAGAATATTTACCAAGATTGCCAAATACAAGGTAAAAAAAATAGCATTGCTTAATGTCAGCAACAACTAGAAAGTATCATTTTCAGAAAAAATAATTTTCAGTAACAGCATTAAAATACAACTTGGAAAAATCTCACAAAAGATGTGAAGTGCCTTTTCAGAGAAAACTATATAACCTAACTAACAAGGATAAGAGAAGTTGTAATTAGAGAGCTATGTCATCTTCATAAATGGAAAAACAGTAAACAGATCTATAAATTCAGTGCAACTCCAATAACAACATCATAAGAGTTATTTGTAGAAATTTATAGGTCAGTCAGTCCTTATGTCCATATGGAAGAGAAAGGGCCAAGTTTGTCAGGATAATTTTAAAGAAGAAAAGGGGTACACGTCAAAACATACCATATCAGTTAGTACAATGTAGCATAAATACAAATGCAAAAATGTTGAGATTTGCAAATGGGAGTAAATTAGGCAGATGTGCTCCGGAAGACATTTTGAGCTGGATTTAGGATGTGTAAACTTAGAAAGGGAGTCCTGGTGTTGTGTCCTGGTGGCTCATCTGCACAGGTCATCACTGCCTGAGGCATATAGCGCAAACCACAGTCACCAGTGTGAACTGTTCACTGCATCTACAGTCCATCAAATCACAACCCATCTATCAAGGTACAACTTCATATTTTTCTTCTCCTACAGAAATTATACAATTTCACATTCTCTCCTCCTCTACAAGCTGGTGATCTTACATAAGATTTAGGAAGATAGTGCTTTGTTTTCCTGCATCTTGCTTTTTCATGCTGTGTTTTGTGATGCTGTGATGAATCACAAACTCTCCCCACCCGGGACTCTTATTTTGTTTTTCTTTTCTTTCTTTTGGTACTGGGGATTGAACTCAGGTCCTTCTGCTTTTGAGGCAGGGGGCAGAACCACTGAGCTAAATCCCCAGCCCTCGGGACTCTCATTTTGGACTGTAGATTACTTACAACCCTTGTAAGAGCACCAAAATGCAAGGAACAAAGGCTAATACCTAGTAGAGGATAGGATTCCTCTCACTGAGAAGCATATTGGCTTCTTATTTATAGAATTATGAATCCCAGGAGGAGCTGAATTGAAATACATGTTGGCTCCTGATGACATTCTCCTGCAGGGGTGTTCCCCACGTTGTCAAATATTGAAAGTACACTGTTGGCTCTAGACAGAGACCCACTGGAGGGCTAGGGATTTAGCTCAGTGGCACCGCACCTGCCTCGCTAGTGCAAGGTCCTGAGTTCAATCTCCAGTATCAAAAAAAAAAAAAAACACTTCAGAGACCCACTGGAGCTTTTTAAATCATGTATCATGCTGACTTACAGAACTAGCTTTATATATTCAGGAACCAAGATTCCACCTTGATGTACCTCAGTTGATGTTGGTTTATTCACACTCCAACCAAAAGATAATGTGCCATAAAGAGCACATGGATAAGTTAGTAATTATTAATGCAACCACATAAAATTTCATTACTTAAAATGCACCATGGTTTATATAGTAATATTCCTCACCCATGTCCAATATCAGATTGTTCACATGCCAGTCACAGTTAAATCTAATTTGCTACAATCTTGGTAAATGGGAGCTAATCAGTGAGCTGAGCACATATATTTCTGAGTAACACTAATAGCAAGGATGGAGAAAAGGCTTCCCAACAACAGCTGGCATTTGTAACGCAGCAGCAGAGTTCTGAGTTCTGATATAATATTCATTGGAATTGTAAATATGTACATAGTTTAAAAGGCTTATGTCATTTGTTATTGCTTGAACTATATCCCTGATACTAAAATTGAGATTAGTGCCATCACTTCCTGAACTCGCTGTTCTAAATTCTTAGCTTGCTTGACTGCAAACGAGCCTCACAGCAACTCTCTGAGAAATTACGATGCATGCACTTGTAGCTGAGGAAACTGAGGAACGGAGAAGTGAAATACTGCCCAAAGTTTCATAATTAAAAGCAGAGATAGTACTTGCAGTAGCTCAAATCCTAGAGTGCCATCTCTTAACCTGATTTACTGTTTCCCTAGCTGAAGAGCTGTTCTGTATGACTGAATGTTAATTATATGTGGATAGTTAAAAACAATTCTACGTATTGTCTTTAAATGTGTCATTCCGGTTAGAAATGGAGGAATATGATTCTTTTTTTTTTTTTTTTTTTGGTACCGGGGATCGAACTTGGGTCCTTACGCTTGCACAGCAGGCAGCGAAACCACTGAGCTAAATCCCCAGCCCAGGAATATGATTCTTGTCTGAAGAAATATTCCTTCTTCAATTGATATAGTTATTTGGAGCGGTTTATCTGGGAAGGCTAACAGAGTTTGAAGCTAAAAGTGAAAGCCCTCCTAAGCCAATTTTGGTTCAGCTAAAATATCAGATAATATCATTCTCTCTTTGGTTCACAGAAGAAGGGATGTGTACTAGAATATTTGTCCTATTTTACACCCTCAGTCAATCTAAGTATTATAGACCACCAAACTACATTATAATTATTGTTTTCATCTTTTTTTGTGTGTGGCTCCAATCCAATGAAAGACATACGTGCGACTGTACTGCTACAGAATGACTAATTTTTCAATTAGATGTGAGTAAAGGATTCCTATTCATGGGCCACAAAATATCATGCATACAGATCCACTTTTACAACTTACACTATCTCTTTCTCACGATCATGCAGAATTTAGACCTTGGTGTTTCATTATTTCTCTGCTACAAAACATAGTGGTTCTAGTGTTAATACTACAGAAAACCAGAAACTTGTAGATAGTGGAAATTATTTTGTCTCTAGGCAAAATTTTGAAGTAGGAAAAAACTGGGGAGCTGTACTCCTTTCCCAGCTAATCAAAGTTCCTATCTTTTCAGAAACGGGGGTGCTACCATTAAACACCACAGGCATTATCCGAGAAGGGCTTTCTTTACCCTGGTACCAGACTGATGTCCTCAGCCATCAGTGGGCTGTGGAATAGCACAAAACTGGCACAAATAACTAAGTAGGTGGCCTTTCGTAAACAGCTGACTCTCCTAGAACCCCAGTTATCTCCATTAAAACAAAATGAGATCACTTAAAGACGTCAGGAAAATTAAGTATAATTCTTTTTTCATTGTACATATTTAAAATATACAACATAATTTTTGTTTTGTTTTGTTTTTTGACACAGGGTCTATGTAGCCCAGGCTGGCCTCAAACTTGCAGCAATACTCCTGCCTCAGCCTCTTGAATGGCATTACAAGCATGTGCCACCAAACCCACCTCTCACAATGTTTTGATAAAGGTATAAACAAGGAGTGATTACTACAGTGGATCAAATTAACATATCCATCATCTCACTGTTACTTTTTTTATGCATGGTGGTTCCTAAAAATCTACTTTTGTGTGTGGGAGGGGGTGAGGGAAGTACTGAACTCAGGGCCTTTGCATTGAGCTACATCCCCAGCCCTTATTTTTTATTTTGAGACAGGGTCTCACTAAGTTATAAATTGCCCAAGCTGGGCTCAAACTTGCAATCCTCCTGCCTCAGTCTCCCACAGTGCTGGGATTACAAATGTGTGCCACTGTACCCAGTCTAAAATCTACTTTTTTAGCAAATTTCCAGTATACAGTATTAACTACAGTCCTCATGTTGTATATCTGGTTTCTAAATTTATTCTTTTGACACAAGTGTAAACAGTATCGTTAGGCTACAGCTTCCATCCACTCCTTCCCAGTATCCCAATCATGGTTTTACTCTATGTATTCAAAACTTTGTTTCCATTCCACGTATAAATGAAGTATAATTCTTTAGATTGAGGAGCATATACAAAACACTGTACTTGCTAAATGATAACTACGTGGTGAATAAGCATAGAACAGTGAGCGGTAAGGGGTCTATTACTTCGAAGAGTGTAGATTTATGATAAGCATTTTTGTAGAGTCTTCCTTTTTTCTTTGTGACTGATAAAAGTTTGCTATTTGCTTTTTAATGCTTAAAAAAAAGTTTAATGCTACTTACCTGTAGTGAAAAAATGGAAAATGCACATTCCAAACCAAAAAATCTCATAAAGCATTTTCAAACATAATGGTTACACTTCTGAAAGGTTAAAATAATTTATGTACATTGCACAATTAGTAAAAATGTGACCATCACATGAGCTTGAGAAATTGTTTACAGGTACTGAAGACCAAACTGCGTGACTACATATGAGAGGATTACCTAATAGGTCTTGGGGCAGAGTTATAGTTAACTGTCACAGGGGGAAAAAATCCATTCATGAACTATTTTAACAACCACATACAAAGTATAATTCCTTACGTAGGCTTAGGAGCATACCACAAATAAAATCATTTACAACCACCAACTCTGCTCCCCTTCCCCAAGAGCCCCCACCAGCTTTTCCTATTAAAAACTGCACTGTGTATCTACCTTAAAGCTACGCCAGCATCTTTAAATATTGGGTCTTGAGAAAAAAAAGACCTGCAACTATGCCCACGTTTTTCTAGGAGCCCAGTTCGCCAATGTTCACGCAAATTGAAGACGCCGAGACGAAACCTACGGCGTCCCATTAGGAAATGGAGGCGCGTCAAGAAGCCACTGGTTCCGCCCACGTAAAAGATGGCGCTGGTCGCGTCAGCCTTCCTGATGCCAGGTTCCTTCTGTCTGGGGGCGGGGTCTAGACAGAGTAGGAGGTGTGCGTCTAGGAGATGCATTTTTCCCCCCCACCCTTCCTGCTCTCCTCTTGTTTTCACAGCGTTCGCCAAACGGGATCTAAGAAAGATCGGATAAAGACTAGTCGGAAGAAAAGAAGGCGGCAATCACCCGCGGCGTGAGGTGGGCCGGGAGCTCTTGGGCCGCGGAGGGGCGGGGCGGGGCGGGGGCGGTGCCGGGGGCGGCCCTGCGGTTGCGGTCCCTGCTCCCGAGGCAGTGTCGGAGGAGGCGGCGGCGCCGGCCAGTTGGGTGAGTGAGACGCCCGCGGCCGGCGGGGTTTGGGGTCCGCGCTGCGCTGCGCGGCGGGGTAGAGGCCTCAGTTTTTTCCCTTAGCGCTCGCCGTGTTCTCTTTTCCCCTCGCTTCCCTGACAGAAGGAGCCGGCGGGCTTTCCAACCTGGCGGCTGGTGGAGTCACCCTGCTTGAGGGCCAGGCTTCGCAGCCGCGGTGGTGCGAAAACTCGGATGGGCCCAGCTTTTGGCCCGCAGACCCCGAACCAGCCCCTTCCTGGGACCCAGCGGGAGCGCCTCTGCGGGCTCCAGTGAAAGGAGCTCCGGGCGCCCGAGGCCTGGCCGAGGCGAGGAGGGAGCCGAAGGACGGGCGGCGCGGTGAACACTGGGGTCCCGCAAGGAGTAGAGCAGAAAGGATGGGGTGCGGGGTCGTGCTACATGCCTGCAGGATTTCAGAAGTTTGTAAGGAACGCTGACGTCTTGTAAATGTGGCAGCAGTGATAGGGCTGGGTGTTCTCCATTCCGTGGGACAAGACCTGATTGCATCACAGCTCAGAGGTTGCACAGACTTGTTAAATGAAGTGACCACAGTGACTTGGGCATCATCCCTTTAATGATGGTAATCAGTTGCGGAGAGAAGTGCAGTGATTACACAGTGTATGTCAGCGTTCAGGAAAAGGAGGAAAGTTGTGCATTTGCCCAGGAGGGATGACCCTTTCAGACGCGTAGAGATTGCTGGACTACATCAGCAATCCGGTGGTAGCAAGTAAATAAATTTCTGTTCGTGCCGTTCCCATCCATCTCTGGTGGTGCAAAGGGCACACTGTCTGGCGTTACCTCTGCTTTGTACAAAAGGGTCAAGAGATTGGAAAATACTGTTAGGACCGTTAGAAAACTTTGGAAAACTTTTATTTGGGTTAATCACAGAAACAAGAAATGCAGTAGTCCTTCTTTATGTTTAGGGGATATGAAAGAAGACCCTCAGTGAAGCCTGAAACCGCAGATAGTGCCCATATATACTATAGGACCCTAAATATCCTATGTTTTTTCTTTACATACAAACCTGTGATAGTTTAAATTATAAATTAGGCACAATAAGAGATTGACAGTAACTACTAATGAAAGAGAACATTCAGAACAAAATATTGTAATAAAATTTATATAAAATCTATCTCAGAATATCTTATTGTACTTTCATCTGTATTAAGTAAAATAAGGCTTACTTGAACATAGGCACTTTGATTCCTGGAAAGTTGATCCAGTAACTGAGAGGACTCATAAATAACTGATGGGCAAGTAGTGTTTATAGTGTCAGTATGCTGGACAAAAAGATGATTCACATCCATGAAGCTGGCAGCGTGAGAGTTCAGTCACACCACGAAGAATGGTGTGCTATTTCAAGTTTATGAAATGTTTTTTTGTACAAGTTTTTATTATTTTAATTTTGGGGCAGAGGTTTATCACAAGTACCTGAAACCACAGAAAGTAAAACTGTAGAAAGGGAAGACTTTAGTGTGATGCTGTTACACTGGAATGTTAGCCATCACCTCCTTCTAATCCTGCCACTCTTGAAAACACCTGAATTGGTTAAAAAAGGCCTCAAGGACTCTGCTTTTCATACATTTGAAACAAAAATCAGAGAAATTACAGACCACCTTGTATATTTATCTGCTTCAGGAAATGATTACATACAATTTAAAAGTTGATAAAATAATTGCTTCATTTGGCTATGGTGGCTGTTTGAAATTTGCTTTCAGAGAAGAGAGTAATACAAATAAAAACCTATGAAGATTCCTATCTTTGAAGCCTGCTCTTGGACTCTGTTAATAGAGCCCAAGGGTTATTAGTGAACCCGCTTATTATCTGAGAAAAACTTGGACCTGTGGGAGATGGCCAGATAGTGATACCATGAACGTCCTCTCTGAGTCTTGCCCTAGGTTGGAAATTTAGAAAGTGTTAGTGGTTTTGCTGCCTGCTGCACAAGTCAAAGGACCCGAGTTCGATCCCTGGTACCGAAAAAGAAAAGAAAAGAAAGTGTTGTAGTCTGATATCACTGTTCATAAAGTGGGCGTGGGCAACCTCTGAATTGGAAGGTAGGCTGAATTAAGATTAGGATCCTGCTTCTTTTAGGGCTGAAAGAAATAAAAAGTATTGTTAAGATGGAAAGGCCTTATGAGGATATAAACGGGATTCATAGTAGCATCGGACCAATCAACTTTCTGAATACCAATTGGGGAAGAGATGGCTGATTTTTAGCAGCGAGTTAAAGAAAAAGAAAAAGCTTAAATTTAACAAACTGCTAACAGTTTTAGCAGGTAGTGTTAATATAATCATATGTCTACATGTTGGATTATTTTTTTGGAAGTGTATTGGGTAAGCCCACATGAATGCTGTGCTTTGTTTACAGGAGTGGCAAGCCATCATCACCCAGTTTGGATCCTGGCTTCCCTCAAAAGATTCTATGGCTAATGTTTGATAACCTTCTGGAGTACCCAATACTACGTTTACATAATATTTATACTAGATAACAGTCTGTTAGTTTTGAACTGATTTTTTTTTTTGCCACATTTGTATCTAATGAATTTTCCTCGACAAAGATAACAACGTCAAGTATCCTAATTATACTTCTGTGTGAAGTATTTCTTATTTCTTAGGTTAGAATCACCCCTCCCATCTATGATTTCAGCTACTAGCTTTCAACTATGGTCCAAAAATATTAAATGGAAAGTTCTAGAAATAATTTATAAATTTTAAATTGCAAGTCATGTTGAGTAGTGTGCTTAGACAAAGTATGGCTGTCTGCCTTGTCTCACCCAGGACATGGTTCATCCCATGTCCCGTGTATCCACACTGTATATGCCTGTTAGTCTCTTAATTGCCAACTTGGTTATCAGATCAGCTATCATAGGATTGTAGTGCTTGTGATCAAGTAACTCTTCTCTTCTTAATAATGGGTGAAAGCACAGGAGTAGTGGTGCTGGCAATTTAGATATGCCAAAGAGAAGCTATAAAGTGCTTCCTTTAAGTGAAAAGGTGAAAGTTCTCAATAAAGATGCTGATATTGCTAAGATCTACAGTAAGAGTGAATCTTCTATTTGTAAAATTGTGAAGAAGGAAAAAATTTTGTGCTAATCTTGCAGTCACACCTCAGATTACAAGAACTGCAGCTGCAGTACATAAGTGGTTAGTTAAAATAGAACAGGCTTTACATTTGTAGGTGAAAACAGAACAGAAAATATATTCTGAGTGATGACAGTGTGTTGTACTAGAAACCATTGAGCCTTTACAAAGACTTCAGCAAGAGTTCTTTTGCAACAAGTGACACCAAGTCATTTGCTACAAGGAAGGGACAGTTACACAGACTTGGAATAGGTTTGGACTGAACATACAGAAATCACTGGAGAAGCTACGAGTTCAACTGGTAGGGATCAGCAGCATGCTTGATGAGGAAGTGGAAAAACTGGTGAAAGGTCTTTGGGAAGTTTTAACAAATGAGGAGTTGGAAGAACTTGTTTAATGGTCTACAGAGAAAAAGGAAGGACAAAGAAGAAACTGAAGCAGAACCAGTAATGAGGACACTTCTGAAATTTGCAGAAAAATTCCAAATTGAACAGATATTAAAAGGACAAAATTATGGACTACAGTCCTAAATAAAATACAGCATTATCCAAAGGTTTACAACCTCTGCAGCAATACTTCAGTTAGTTCAAAAGAGACAACTTGGGCTGGGGATTTAGCTCAGTAGTGCCACCGCCTGCCTTGCAAAGTACCAATAAAAAAAGAAAAAAGAAGAGACAACTTAAGATTACAATGTTCTTTTAAAAGATTTTGACAAAACAAAAACAAAAACCTTCAACTGTAGAGAATCCTCAACCACAGGCATTGTTTGCTCCTGACATCTAACCATTGATTATGTCATAGTTCAGCGATCTAGGATCACCTGAAACACATGCTTCATCTGATGTGTCATCAGAAGGTCAATAGTAGCCAACTTGTTGCTGTGTTTGGGGCAGTGAGGTCTGTGTACGTCTCCTAACTTCAGCTTTTGGGCTGTCATTCACATTGCATAGGAAAAGGTTGGTGAGGAAGGAACAGAGAGAGCAGGATCCCTGGCCTCCCTCCCCCAAACTCCCTGACTGTCACTTGTAATTGTATATAATTTTTGTGTTTCTTGCTCCATTCCCTCATGCTGTCATCCTTTATCTAAAGTCCGTGTGGGAAGGGGAGAACACCGAACATCAGTGTATAGTTTCCTCAACTGTCCCAGCCATGTTGTACATAGATATGTCATGTTATATATATATAGGTATATATATAATTTTGTACATTTAAAAAAAATAGCTTAACACTGTCACAGTGTATATGTCATTACTTCATTTCATCATGTAGTCATTGTATTCTCTCCCATCATCACAAAAAGAAAGGTGAGTACAAGACAGGAAGATACTTGGAGATAAAGAGAACATGTTCACATAACTCTTGAGCATAATGTTATGTTACTCTTACTGTGCCTAATTCATAAATTAGACTATCGTATGTATGGGGGGGGGACAACATATGTAAAGTTATATACTAATCTGCAGTTTCAGGCATCCATTGAGATTCTTGGAATATATCCCCCAACCAGAAAGGATAACTAACATATGTCTTGTTGCAGCTTTTAAAACTAAACAATTCCACGTGATTCTTATCCTTCATTTTCTAATTATACAGTACTGGGAATGAGACTGAATGTAATTAGTGACCTATACTGGCTCAATATTCACAATCAGGTAAAAAGTTTTTCCATAATTCAGTCAGATTTTACTGTAGGGCTCAATTCTATTTTAGGAAGTGCTTTTATTTTCAGCATCATGGTGGAAATATTTGAGTTGTAATGCTTCCTTTACTCACCATTTTATCAAAAAAGAATAAAAAATGTCTACAGTATAATTTTATGGTTATATATTTTGTCTTAGCCCCTAGTTGCTGTTGTTAATTATGACAGCAATAGTCTCGATATAGTTTCAATTTAGAATACATTCCTGTATTCTGTCATTGTAAATAGACTGTTTAAATTGTATGCAAAACTGGATATTTTAAACAAGCTGCATATAGCTTATATCCACTGTCATCTCCTAAGGTTGTTGACAATATTAAAAAGTAGATACTTTTTAAGTGAATTCTGAAGTAAAAGTACACATGTAAAAACTTTCAAACTATTTCTGCACATATGTGCAGTTGAGTGTTTTACCAGGTTCTGTGTGTATTCATGATAAAAATATTCATCTAGTGCTCTAAAAATAAGACTTTTCATCAGACTCTGAACTCTCTTTGACAAGATGTAGATAATTTTTTTAAGTAAAATGGTTTACTTTGACATAAAATTTATGTTGCAACAAAATTTGTTGCAGATCAAATATTACTTCCCAAAGCTATCACACAAGCCATAGAGTTGCTCTCCATTACTATTGTTTCAGTTTTAGACTTGCTTAAATAAAATTGTCATAATTTGTTTTACTTTGTCTCTGATTACAAGTCTTCAATTATAGCATTTGTAAGAATAATTAGCTTTACATTAATGTAAAATGCATCTTCTCAGAGAGGTATGTTTGTCTGTTTCCTTGGTAGATTGAAAAGTGAACAGGGTACATCCAGGCCCTTTGTTTGCAATATGTTCTAAATAAATGGAGCATTTTTATTTTAGCCACTCTAATACAGAGCACTTTTCCCAATAATAAAATGTTATGCTGTTTTCTTCTTCTTTTTTTTAATTTAGTTATGGTCTTTATGACTCTTTATTTTCTAATAATATGACATTCTCCTTATGGTAGGTTTTTTTTTTTTATTAGTGTATGTTTGTGATACATAGTAATTACATTTGTTCTGGGAAATTAGTACATATATATTATATCATGATCATTTTTATCCACTCCCTCTCTTCTTCATCTGCAAAATATCTACTTCCTTGTTTCCAACCACCTACTCTTATTTTGCTCTTTAAATTTTTTATACTTTGCTTTCTCATGTAAGAGAAACTAAATGATGTATAACGTGTGTCTGCTTTATTTCACTTAATATAGTCTCAAGATCCATCCATTTTCCTACAAATGACTGAAATTTATCCTTTATGGCTGAGTAATACTTCATTGTGTACATGTAGCACATTTTCTTTATTCATCTGTTAATAGGCTTTAAGGTTGTTTCCACAAAATTCAGCTATTGTAAATTGTGTTGATATAAACATGAGGATGCATGTATCACATAATATGACTTTAATTCTTTCAGAAAGATACCCGAGAGAGATATCTGAGTCAAATGGAATTCCTACTTTTAGGGGGTTTTTTGTTTTTAAGGAATCTGCATACTGATTGCCATAGTGGTTTTGCTAGTTTACCTTTCTATCAACAGTGTAGAAAGGTTCCTTTTTTCTCACTTTCTGCCCAGCATTTGTTGTTTTTGTGTCCTTGATGATTGCATGGAGTAAGGTTGAATCTCAGTATTGTTTTTATTTGCATTTCTCTAATGGCCAAAGATACTGAGCATATTTCATGTTCTTATTGGCCATTTGTAATTCTCCTTTTGAGAAATGTTTATTCGTTTCAATTGCCCATTTTTTTGGTGATTCTTTTGATTTTGGTGATGGGAGTCCATTTTTTTTTAGTTCTTCATATATTCTAGATATTAGTCCTCTAACCAGGAAGTAGCTGCCAAAATTCCTTCCCTATTCTGTAGGTTGGGCCTTTAGTCTGTTGATTGTTTCCTTTGCTGTGCAGAAGCTTTTCAATTTGATTTAATCATATTTATTGGTTCTTGGAATTATTTCTTGTGCAATTGGTGTTCTGTTCAGGAAGTTCTTGCCTATTCCTGAGTTTTCAAGTGTTTCACTTGTTTTGTTTTTTAGCAGATTCAGTGTTTCTGTTTTAATATCTAAGACTTTGATCCATTTTGATTTCATTTGAGTACAGGATGAGAGATACAGGTCTAGATTCACTGTTCTAGATGTGGATAACTGGTTTTCCTAGCACCGTTTAATTGGCTATCTTTTCTTTGATATACTGCTTTCTTGACTACAGCATTAAATGTATTTATCTTCATTGTCATATTTCAGTTAAACACCAGTACGTTAAACACTAATATTCTGGGCTACATAGTGAGTTCAAGGCCAGCCTGGACTACATACTGAGACCCTGTCTCAAAAAAAACCAAATAAAATAAAATAAACATTAGTACTGGGTTTCAATACCCTGATAGCCAGAGAGCTCATTGGGGAAAACACGACTATTTACTCATTTTTTGTTAAGGCTCTAGATTTGCATTTTTGTGATCTTAGATCTCCTTCTTTTCTAAAATTCTCCTTTTAGCAAATATAAGCTATTTCTGCTGTTGTCAGATGTGCTGTTACTTTTTTAGGAATACAATATTGTAACAAACCACAAACCAGATGACTTAAACAGCAGCAGTTTTTTCTTTGGCAGTTTTGAAAGCTGAAAGTCTAGTATGAAGATGTCAGCAGGAGCATGATCCTGAGAAGACTCTAGTGAAGTCTTCATCCTTGCCTCTTCATGTCTGGCAGTTACCAGCAATCCCTGACATTCCTTGGCTTGTAGTTGTATCATTCCAATTTTTGTCTTTTGTATTCACATGGCTGTCTTCTCTTTGTATCTGTGTGTCTCCAGATCTCTCTCCTAAGCCCACCAGTCATTGAATTTGGACCCATCCAGTCTAGTATGATCCCATGTCGATTATGCTATTTCTAAATAAGGTCACATTCACATATATAAGGGGTCAGAACTTGAATATCTTGTCATAGTAGAATTACACATAGACTAAATATTTGGGAACAGTGAAGGCCTATGGTACAAGCTTTAGGATGTAACATTTGCCTCAATCATTCAGGACTTGGCTGAATACCTTTAAAATTGCTAAACCTAATCATTGGTTTTGTATGTCCTTCTTTAGCTGTCTCTGGAGCATTGGATAATGTGAGAGTTGGGCTGCAGTGATGTCAACTCTCTGCCCACCCCCGTCTCCAGCTGTTGCCAAGACAGAGATTGCTTTAAGTGGTGAATCACCTTTGTTAGCAGCTACCTTTGCTTACTGGGACAATATTCTTGGTCCTAGAGTAAGGCACATTTGGGCTCCAAAAACAGAACAGGTACTTCTCAGTGATGGAGAAATAACTTTTCTTGCCAACCACACACTAAATGGAGAAATTCTTCGAAATGCAGAAAGTGGGGCAATAGATGTAAAGTTTTTTGTTTTGTCTGAAAAAGGAGTAATTATTGTTTCCTTAATCTTTGATGGAAACTGGAATGGAGATCGGAGTACTTATGGACTATCAATTATACTTCCACAGACGGAACTTAGTTTCTACCTTCCACTTCACAGAGTGTGTGTTGATAGATTAACACACATTATTCGGAAAGGAAGGATATGGATGCATAAGGTGAGTAGTTTTTCAGCTTACTAATCATGCTAACTTTGCCATTTTGAAAGTTTATTTTGTGATATATTTCTATCTAATTTTTAAAAATTATATGCATTTGGCTGGACATGGTGGTACACTCCTGTAATCTCACCATTCTGGGAGGCTGAGGCAGGAGGATCATTGCCTGGGGAATTTAGTGACTTAGATCCTGTCTCAAAATGAAAAAGAAAAAGAGGACTGGGGATGTAGCTCCATGCAAAGGCCCTGGGTTCAATCCTCAATGCTGAAAAAAAAAAAATTTTTAAAGCAAAAAGAAAAAGGCATTTAACACTAGACGATAGCTGTTATTTATTGTGTGCCCATCCTCTTAGATACTGATCTGGTCTGATGTTTAGAATCTTCACAGTAACTATGGAAAGTAGAAGATTGTACTTCTACATTATAAACAGAAGGCTAACGCTTTGAGAAATTAAGAAACTTTTAAGGTTTAGATTTGTCTTGAAATCCTGACTCTAAAAACTTTTTATTTTCTTTCATTGTGTATGACCTTGTCTTTCACTTGCACTTATGTGTAGGTATAACAACAGTTCAACAGTTATTTCATTAAGTTCACAGCCATGTAGCCTTTGGTCCCTTCAACTTCTTTGCCAAGTTTCCATTGTAAGATGAAGAGGTTGGACCAGATGGTTTCTTTTTTTTCTTTTTAATTCAATTCTTTTATTGGTACATTGTAGGTATACAACACAATTACATTTCTCATTGGGAATTGTACCTTTACATAGTGCATCCTGGTTCTTATTTTTTCCCCATTCCTAGCCCTCCCTTCACTCCCTCCACCCATCCCTATTTACAAAGACTTTATTTCCATTCCTCATCATTCTTCCTTTCCCTTCTTTCCTTTCCCCTGCCCCTCCCACTACCCCTACCCCTTTGGACCTTTTCTTCCTCTTTTGCATTATCGATTATTCATTCTAATCATTGGTTCATTTTAGGTATACAATATAATGACATTCATCATTGGAAATTTGCACCTTTACATGGTCTCTCTTGGTTCTTATTTTTCACCCTTGCCCAGGCCTGCCTTCAACCCCTCCATTCCTCCCTATTTACAAAGATTTTGTTCCTATTTTTCCATTTTCTCATATTAATCCCATTCCCTTCTATCCTTTCCCCAGGCCTCCCACTTCCTTCCCCTTTGCCCCTTTTCTTCCTATTTCACATTACCTATTATACATTTTAGTCCTTATTTACACTTTCAGTTTCTCACACCAGAGAAACTACTCAGTATTTACACGTGTGTCCTATTTATTTCACTTAAGAGTATCGCCTCAATGTGCATCCACTTAGCTATAAATGTCTCTAATTTCTCATTTTTGATGGCTGAGTAGTACTCCATTTTATAAAGAAACCACATTTTCTTTATTGAGTCTCCAGTTGATGGGCATTTGGGCTGTTTCCAAGCTTTAGCTATCACAAACTGTGCTGCTATGAATGTGGGTGCACATATATCACTGTGGTATGATTCTTTTAATTCTTTGGGGCAGCAGTGGAATAGCGGGGTCAAATGGGATTTCCAGTCCTAGTTCTTTGAGGTATCTCCATACTGATTTCCACAGTACTTGCACCAGCCTACACTCCCACCAGCAGTGGAGCAGGGTTCCTCTTTCCCCACAGCCCCACCAGCATTTGTTATTGGTTGATTTCATGATAGCAGCCATTCTTTCTGGAGTGAAGTGGAATCTCAGCGTTGTTTTCATTTGCATTTCTTGAATGACCAGTGATGTTGTACATTTTTCCATGTATTTATTTGCTATTTCTACTTCTTTTGGACCAGATGGTTTCTAGGAAGACCTTTTAATTTTGCAGATTGAGTGTCCAACATTTTGGCTTGCCTGGGTTGCAGTGAGTGGAAAGAGTTGTCTTGAACCACATATAAAATAATAATATAGTTAACATATATAAGTAACAAAACTTCCTTTTATATATTTTTATTATAACATTTCTAGTATTAGCAATGTTGTATATGTAATCCTAGCAATATCATGAACAAAAAATTTGATATATTTTGTACTTCCTATACCACAGCTGCTAAAAAACTGTTTTAACTTACACAAAATAACACCAGCCCTGCAGTAAATAAAAAAATTTACATGTCTGCTTAATAGCAATAAACACTTGTCTTCATATGCACACATGTGTAGGTAGGTTGAAATATTACTGGGTAATTGCTGCATCTTACTTACCAAGTTTCGTAAGTACATATAATGTTTTTTATGTGCATGTTTTGATCTGATTATGTGTGTCAAGGATAGAAGGTTGAGTTAGCACTGCTCTGTGCCCTCCCCAGAACACAGCATTCTGTTTTTTCCTGTGTGTAGGACCTAGCACTACACAATCAGGTCATCTAAAAAAATTCCTTAAAGACCCATAATAATGTTAAAAGTTTATGATATTTTGTAGTGCTGCATTACTCACATTACTGGTTCTCCACGGCTGCTGCAGCCCATGGGCATAAGCCTAAGCTTAGAGTTGTTTTCTGATAAATCCTATAGTTTAATACATAATGAATGATGTTTACATTTTGATGTACTTTTGGAATAGCTACAGAATAAATTAATTCTTCCAGTGTAATACACAGATCATTAAAGCATTATTAATTTTATAAGGCTTCTAACCCATTATAAGGAAAATAATCTTTTAAATAATAGTTTTTGTACTGTCTTTGCTCTCTCAGTTTCTTATTTCTCATGCTTATGAAAATTATTAAAATCAAGCTGTGTATTCCTCGGATTCAATGTAATCTGATTTTATTTGAAATATGCATTATTATATTCCTTTATTGAAACTGCAAGTGTTATATTGACTGTTTTCTGCTAAATTATCTCTCTCTACTAATACTCTGGTTTCTCTTCAGATCGTATAAATCTTTCACCTTTTACTAAATTATCTCTTTCAGTACAAAATAAAGGATGTTTTGATTTTATTTATTTATTTTTTATTTTATTTTGTATAGGGTTGGAGAACATGGGTTTGTTAGATTTATTTCCTGCTTCCTTCCCTTTTTCCCCTATAGTAGAAAGTATTTTTTCGGGCCAGGGATTTAGCTCAGTGGTTCCACCGCCTGCCTCGCAAGCTAAGGACCTGGGTTTGATCCCCGGTACCAAAAAAAAAAAAAGAAAGTATTTTTCCTTTGAACTAAATTACACAACATGTCTACATTGAAAAATAAGCACATGTCAAACTGTTAAATATGAATTTTCTTTTGCTTAGGAAAGGCAAGAAAACGTCCAGAAGATTGTCTTAGAAGGCACAGAGAGAATGGAAGATCAGGTAAAGTGCAAATTGCATACTATTAACTACCATTATTCCTGTGGTATATATTTGTATAAGGCTGATGGCTATATCTGTTAAGGCTTGAAGACATAACAGTTCAACAGTGAGCCTGAAGATGAATAATCTATATGGAGTTGTATGAAGATCCGTATGGATAAACATTTCAATATCTTACACCTGAAGAGTTCAATAAATAAACAAAGGAAAATCATAATTACATATACATATAACTTTTTTTTTTCAGTCTGTGGAATAAGTTTGAGATAACTGGTTCATAGTAAAAATAAACAAGGATATATGTGACTTTTTTTTAAGTATTGCTTCTGAAACATTTCCATAGAAATAGCTGCAATGGGAAGAGAGTGAGTGTACTCCTAAGTTATCTGTCTGGGAGTACAGCACAGCTCTAGCACAGTATTTCTTTAAGGTCTTATATGATATCTTTAAAAGTCATGCATGTTTATTTTATTCCATGATATCTTTATTTGTTTTAATATTACAATTTGCCAGTGATGTTCTTTACCTTACTTCTGTAACACTAACTCTCTTGGAAAATGTATCAGGTTTATCCAGTGACTTTGAATGATCTTGGGGAACAGAACTAGAGTCTGAGAAGCATGACGGCAAGGGTATGATTTCCCTTGTAGAAATTAAAGGCCATTTTAGTATAGGACAGAAGTTCCAAATGAGAATATCTAGTGGAGAAAGGGTTTTTAACTTTGCTACCAATCCCCTGGCATACCACCCTCCTTCATTGTTCCTTCTTGTAAAACTCTAGTCTTTTAAACATGGTTGTTTTGCCTTTTCTCTGGTTCTCTGTAGCATGATTAAGACAGGAATATGCTTTAAAAAATAAATTTTAAGTATTTCTGAGTGGCTGGTAGTATAACACAGTGGTAGAGCATCTACCTACCATTGCACAAGACTCTGGGATTGCTCTCCAGCACCATAAAACAAAACAACAACCTTGTGAAAACATGAGTACATCAAAGGAAATATAAAACCCTGTAAAATGATCTTTACAAAATTATTATGTTTGTACCTTTGTAATAGCTTTCCAGGCCTCATGGGGCAAGATCTGATCAATCAGTAAGCAGGAGTTCGGTCACACACCAACTTCTAACCTGATACTTACAGAGTAATTAAATTATCTCAAGATAAGGAAATACAGGAGCACATAAAATGCTTCTTTTAGTGGGATTTTATTTTTTCAAACCAGAAACCTATACTTAAAAGATTGACTAGAATTAATTAATTTCTGCCTCTCTTTCAAGGTCTCTTCTTGAATATGTTTTCCTATTCTATGTTAGGAGGAAAGTATATTGGGACAGACTAGAGACTTTCAAGGGGAAATGTCCTACTGAGGAGAAAAGGAAGTACAAGGAAGAAAAGAAACTTAGGGAATTTTCTTTTATAGCCTCTTCTTTATTCAGCTCTGTAAGATTTTTGTTGTTGTTGAGCATAGATGATGCCATCCATTCACTTAAAGTGATGTTACGTCTGAGATTTCATGTCCAAAATATATGTGCCTAAACTTAAGCAGAGATGCTGTCACAAAATTATCCTTTCTGAAGTGGAATTGCCTTATAATTGAGTCCTTGCAAATCCCTTACTATCTCTTTTCAATAGCTTTATTTTGAACATTAAGTATTTCTTGGGGAATGATACAATAGTCTGCAACAACTTTGGTCCTTGCTATTTGTAAATGCTTATAGCTGTCATCTGATAAAATCAACGAGGAAGGAAATTTAACACAGATTGTGTCATATTTGTTGGATTGCTTGTGTTAATTGTAAACATTTCAACAATTACTTTTAAAAACAAAAACAAGTTATTATTTCTGGGGGTTATAATAAGATGAATTTTTTAAAGTAATAAATTAAAGCTGTTTATATTAGGCAGAGGCATTAATGGCTTTGGATAGAATTTTCAAAGGTAGCAGCATACAGTATTTAAATTCTTAAGCAACCTACATGATAAGGGGCTTTGAAAACTTATGTTGCTCAAAAAATGGCTCTATGGGGCCAAGGATTTAGCTCAGTGGTTCCACTCCCTGCCTCGAAAGTGCAAGGTCCTGAGTTTGATCCCTGGTACCAAAAAAAAAAAAAAAAAG